CCCTAACCACTAAGCTAGCGATCGCTTCATGTTTAGATCATTTCGTAGTTCGGGGGTGTTCCTTTGGCGTGTTTTGATTGTTCGTTTAGCTGTGTTCTGTTTGGTTGATGAGAAAATGCGGGGAGCAATAGTTATTGCTCGTTGGAACAAATACGTAGTTCCGTTTGGTTTAGAAGCTGGTGAAATGGTTGATTAATCTGGTAGAATAATTCGTGGCTTGGGTGGGTACCTAGAGTGTTGGTGTTTTCTCAGTTGAAGTGGAAGGTCCTAGAAGAGGATGTTGGAATAGACCCGAGGTCTTGGCATTGCTACACTCTTTTACGTCTGTGATCGTAGAGGATGGCTCCTGTTAGTAGTGGATCACTTTATGTTTAGATATTAGCATGTTGGTGTTCTATTCGATTCATATTGTGTATCGAATATGGAGTGAAAATGCTTGAACTTTATATTCTGTTGAACTGTGTAAATAGGGGCGTACAAGCGGCAGGTTCCCTGTAAGCACTAGGTCACCTGCAAGATTCGCAAGCTCGGGTGCTGCTGTATTGCAGTCATCCTCTTCAGGCGGGATCTTAAGTTGGTTTACTGGTGGGAATTCCAAGTCTTCGGTGCCTCTTGACTTTCAGTTTCCAGGAGTTGAGCTCCCACCATCCCTGCCTGATCTTGTTGAACCGGGGAAAACCAAGATTACTACGCTCCCTAATGGTGTCAAAATTGCATCTGAATCATCTTCGGTAATTCGAACTTCTTTTTTTGGGATAAACTTTACAATTTGTTGCTCGGATGCCACCCCTGTCTCACTCCATCTATGTACTTTCTTATCTCTGTTGTGTGCTAGAACCCTGCTGCATCAATTGGCCTATACATTGACTGCGGCTCAATCTATGAGTCACCAGCCACATTTGGGAGCACTCATCTGCTGGAGAAAATGGCCTTCAAAAGTACTAGAAATCGCAGCCATTTGCGAGTTGTGCGAGAAGTGGAGGCAGTTGGAGGTGTTGTACAAGCCTCAGCATCTCGGGAGCAAATGGGATATACTTTTGATGCTCTGAAGACTTACGTACCTGAGATGGTGGAGTTGCTAGTTGATATTGTAAGGAACCCAGTTTTCCTAGATTGGGAGGTCAACGAACAGGTAATCTGCATCTTCTGTTTCCCATCTTTCACAGATTGTGATATTTAATGTTGTCCTCTTAGCAATTTTTTTCCTGCTACTCCAGCTTCTGAAGGTCAAATCTGAGATTAGTGAAGCTTCTAACAATCCGCATGGCTTACTCTTGGAGTCCATTCACTCTGCTGGCTTTTCTGGCGCACTGGGAAATCCTCTTTTAGCTCCTGAATCAGCTATTAATAGGTTAAATGGTACTATGTTGGAGGAATTTGTGGCTGTAAGTCTTATACATTTTGCATCCCCTTCCAAATGAAATAGTTGCACCCTCAACCAAATTGTGTTATTGAACTATATATTTTTGGAACCTCTAGGAAAATTACACTGCCCCTCGGATGGTGCTTGCAGCTTCTGGTGTTGAGCACGAGGAACTAGTATCCATTGCCGAACCTCTTCTCTCCGACCTACCTCAACTTCCAAAACCTGCTGAGCCTCAATCTGTGTATACTGGAGGCGATTACCGTTGTCAAGGAGAGTCAGGGGTATGAATCACAGATATATGTCAATGTCAGTTCAACCTATGTAAGCCATCCATGTAGAATGTATAACCTCGGATAATTTTCCTTTTTCTCACTGCAGGATATGATGACCCATTTTGCTCTCGCTTTCGAACTCCCTGGTGGTTGGCATCAGGATAAGGATGCAATGAGCTTGACTGTTCTTCAGGTTCATGATCTTTCGATGCTTGCTTCTTTTACTTTTATTTCTGTTATGAAAAATATAAAAATTGGTGAGGTGGGGTGCATATCCAAGGTTGTTTCTGTTATCTACTTGATAATATTTATCTATTCGTTTCAATTTTCACATTATCTAAGTACCAAGTTGAAGACAACAATAAATTGTTACTTAAATGTTTGGCAGATGCTTATGGGAGGTGGTGGATCATTCTCTACGGGCGGCCCTGGAAAAGGAATGTACTCAAGGCTTTGTAAGTTTCTATCATGCCTCCTTGACGGCCCTAGACCATTGTAGGAATCTTGTAACTATTAACTGTTTTACTTCTTTGGTGACATTCTGGCATTAATGAATATTTTATTTGCTGATATGTTGAACAGACCTTAATGTCTTAAATCAGTGTTCACAAATTCAGTCATTTTCGGCATTCAACAATATTTACAACAAAACTGCCTTATTTGGTATCCAAGCAACCACTGTAAGGGATCCGTTTTCTATGCTATGGCTGTCAGCATCCTCTGTTCCTACTTCGTTTCTTTTTTCCTACTGAAAGAATGTGTATCCTTGGTTTCAAGTTCTGCCGGTAGACATGTTGCTCCTAAAGACTAGTTTTCTTCCTGAATGCAGACTTCAAATTTTGCGGCGAAAGCGATTGATATCGCCGCTAGTGAACTTATTGCTGTTGCTAAGCCTGGTGAAGGTTTGCTACCACTCTTATATATTGGTTGTTATACTTGTAGATGTATGGAATCCTGACTGGTAATTGACAAGGTTTCCCTTCCTGCTTCCTCCAGTTGATCCTGTGCAATTGGCCCGTGCCAAGCAGGCAACAAAATCTGCCATTTTGATGAATTTAGAATCCAGAGTATGTGGATATATCCTTGCCTGTTTCACAGTTGACCATGCTTTATGATTTTTGGAATCTTATTTTGTTTCTATGTGTCTCCCAGATGGTTGCTTCTGAAGACATTGGTAGACAAATTTTGACGTATAGTGAGAGGTACTGTATATCTCATGTTTCTGTGTCTAATGAAAAGGGTAGCGTAACATAAGCTAGTGGAAGGAATATGTTCCTTTCCGCCTATAATTTTACATGCGTTTTCTATTTAGTTTTGTGGTATCCAGTCAATCTGTGGTTATTGCTAAAGCGTAGGTTTACTTATACTTGGAATTCTTCTATAACGAAAGAGTTCACGTTAATGATTCATTTTTTCCTTAATGCCATCCGCTGTCTATGACATGCCACAGGCTTTACTGAGCAAGAACATAGTTAGTGGTTAGGACAAATAGTGAAATAACATATGCTGCACGTGCTGGCCCTTTTTGCTTCTTTATGTTTTCCCTTATATGAAACTTGGGTTGTTCTGTTGATGGAATCTGTAATACTGAATGGATGGATGACTATTCAGCTGCTGCTGTGTATAGATTTGAGGTTTGAAGGATATGTTAGGAGTCGGGGAATTGTGTTAGTTGCATCCTGAACAGTCTTTTCAAGGCAATTCGTCTAACCATGGATTTGGTAATATTAGAAATAGTTATTGAGAACTTTGATGGAATAACAACAGTATTTGTTTTATGATCTCAACTCTCAATGTTTCATGATCTTATTTTGGGTTTTTCTCAAGAGCTTGGCTTATGCAAGTGATGTCTCTACAAGTTCAATAGGTTGGAAAGCTTATACATTTGTGTTCTTTGCACTAAAGCTGTATCTCTAAGAGATTGAATATGAATGTGCTCGTCAATGACTTGATTAATTAATTGACTGATATTTTGCTGGGCGACTTTTCACAAATGAACCCAGCTTATTCGTAATCTTTCAGGTTATTTGTTTGGTTATTCATTGATCAGTTCTATTTGAAATTTCTTTCTTCTAGGAAACCGGTGGATCATTTCTTGAAAGCCATAGATGCAGTCACAGAGCAGGATGTTGCCAAGCTTGCACAGAAGCTCATTTCTTCCCCTCTTACGATGGCGTCCTACGGAGATGGTAAACACCCACTTACTGAGAAAAAACCTACGAACTAGTGCTGGTTTCGATTATTCCTTCATCAATCAATTGAATTGATTTTGTTTTCACTGATATCCTGCAGTTATCAACGTTCCAACTTATGACTCGGTCAGCAGCAAGTTCAAATCGAAATGAAGCAGTCCCTGACGAGAGGCTGAAGTCTATTTGTGCATCCTAGCTCTGCTTCATAATGACATAGGAGCTTATTGCAGTTGATGAAATAAGTAGAGATGTTATACGAAAGAACCCATTTTTTAAAAATAAAACTTCATAGGAGGGTGCTCAGCCTGCCAACAGTTTCATGTCGTTCAGATTCACAAAGAGCACACTTCCTACTGGTTTCTTTTGGTAGCCAGAGCAAGTTGCAACCTGAATGATTGTTTTCTTGGGTGTCTTACTGGTCCAAAAATAGCTATTTGCGCCAAGTTTTCTTGCTGCGATCCATCACTTTTACAGGTAGAGGCCCTCGACGCCCAGAATGTGAAAGCCCTGCAGTTTCTGATTCGGATTCCAAGTTCATCATCTAATGCCCGCTATGGAAATGTGAGCTCTAAGTCGAACAGTTTAGACGTTTATGTAGCGATGGAAAGGCAAGAGGCTGCAGCCATGACGGCCAGAAAAAAACTTGTGGTTGGTCTTCGGTCCTTTATAACGTGCAAGGGAAGCGAAGGGGTTCCTCGATCTGTCCTCCAGCCGTGCTGCAATTCATCTGTAGCTCGATAGATTGCAGTACGAGACTTGTCTATGTCGTATCCTGTGAAAGGGTTGGCTTTAGAATGAATGTAGTTGGGCAAAGATTGGAAGATGTACTCTCCATACTTGAATTCTCCATCCACCAATCGGTACAAGAGAAACCCTTATGAAATGTTGGTGTCTTTGCTGGTGCAGTTTGTGCGTGCATGAAGAAGGGTAAAAAAGAAATAGTAAGCTAGGCAGGAGTAAAAGAGAAGCAATGGAGGTCTGCCAATGCACAATTTGCCGACTCTAGAGCTTATTCATGAGGACCTAGCTCACATCAATGGTGAAATTGTACCTAAGGTTATAACGGAAAAGTTAGTAATAAAGTATTTTGTACTAAAATCATGATTTATCTATCACTAAAATCCCCCGTCAAAATAGATTCGGTGATATGTATTTCTAATCGGACTGACCTGCACATCAGAACTTTTAGTATCACATATAATTTGATGTTTAATCCCAAGCGAACAAAAACACTATCAAAACACAGATCACGTCTGGTGATGACGATTTGAACACGCCTCACCGTGTGTTACCCAACATACAGTAGCGTGGGACGGGACATGGGTATCTACTTCCGACCCGCTCTGCCTCGTCCTGTTCTTGGCATGTTCTATCTCAATTTCTTACAATATCTGTTCATATTTCTTTTATTTTGACTTTTCTTCAACAAGTTAAACTTGATCTTCATCTAGTTAGCCTCAATTATCAATTCTATTATCACTATTTTTCATTCATAAAGTGTTCTATCTTAAAAAGTAGAATTTTGCATATTTTTTTTCAATAATAATGTAGGAGTGGGTTGACCCGCTCCATATCCATGCGAGAATTAGCCACCCGATCCGCATTTGGTGCATGACGGATATGAGCATTGAGATACCCGCACCACCACATTTTCTATCACTAATCAGGTCACCTAGCGGGCCGACAGGGACGAAAGAGGTTTAACCGTGAAGAATCTAATCTACGCTCACAAGCCCATCGTCTCAGGCCCAAACGAATTAGTAATAACCCCTCTTTGGGTGAACAGTTGAATGATTCTCCATTGCAGAAACGATGATCAAATATTCAATCGCGTAATGCTGTAGTTATCGATCACAGTCTGAAACTTACAAAACGCAGCCGAAAGCATTTCACAGACTTGAGAGTGAAGGTACCCAATAAAAACCACTACCTTTCCCACAACAAATAACTCCAAAGCTTTGGTGTCACCTTGCAAAAACCAAAAGTTTGGCATAATCCTCTAAGCATATTCCACCACCCACCAGGAATCTTCCCTCTTTACCTTTTATAAGAACAGTCCTACCATATTCCAGAAATAGACCAGTGCAACTGCAACTCAGCAAGTGCAGGAGATTGATGAAATCCTACCAAGCGATCCAATCGTTTCGTACTAAAGCGATACAACGGGGACAAGACTCACACTAACTAAAGTTACAATTCCCCACCATTTCCAGTAGTACCTCCAAACTGCGAGAAAAAATGAAGCTACATCACCATCATTCAGCAAAAACCTGCAAAGGCAAAACACATCTGCAAGCAACAAATGCTCAAACGATAACCCAAAGCAAAGCTATGAACAAGCAGCTGCTGCTGCGGCCTTTCTTTTATGGCAATTGGCATCGCATTATACACAATTACCTCCTTTTTTTTTCTCTCATCGCTCTTTGGTCATAAACAAGATAGGCTTATTCTGTACAATACAACAACCCTATTGGTATCCCGGGTAATCTTTAGCAAGCACGCGCCTCAGGCATCCGCCCAGCAACAGGCCCAGAGACTCCCGATACTTTCAAAGACGCAAAGAGGCAGGACAACCGGGCTATCATGGGCCTCGACATCATTCTTGGTACAATTGCCAATTCCTTACCAGTACTAGTAGCACCATCCTCGGAGGAACTATGGTATCCTTCGAGATCAGCTTTCGTAATGAGAACTTCGTCCCCTGATGGAGACCACGTGGTAGAGGATAACTGGCGTGAATGGCGTCTACTGTATTCTTGAACAGCCTGCATATTTCAAAGGAATGTGATGAACCTTTCAACCTTCTAACAACAAATTTGTCAAAAAGAGAATGTGATGAATTACCTTCCACTGCGTAGGAGCTAGCAACACTCTAGGTCTTCTAGACCTCACGTAATCAAGGGCCACGCCAGGCGTCATGTGCTTATACTTTACCTGCAATATATAGCATACGACTCTAATAAATGCTATAACCCACAAGAGTAGTCAAGGCGAGATGTTTGAACCAAAGCAGCCTTTACCAAATAACAGAGCACAATGGTAGTACTCCTTCCACGTCCAGCTTTGCAATGAACGTAGGTAGTTCTGCAACACAATGCATTCCCTGAAGCACAAATAGAGAAGAGATTCAAGTCTAAGTAAATACACCATAATTAAGCACAAGCAGAATGGAAGATCTGTTGATACTTCAAATATATATAATAACAAAAATTACTCACTGTGGATGAAGTCCACTGCCAGACTAATATCTGCAAAAGAAGGGGCAAAGAGATAATCCCTTGTTGGAATGACTAGATGTTCAATTCCATGGACCTGCAAACACACATAGTAAAGCAAGCATGAGAAAACGCAATTGGTTCGGTAGTGAGTTGCTAACTAAACGGAAAGGGCTTGCAAACAAGAAGCCACACAGAAGCTCATTTGATACTTTGCTCTAGATGCATGACATAATTAGATCGCTAGCCGAACAACAGCCTTTTGCCCAGTATAGGACATCCTGCAGTTAGTTCATAAAATTCACATTGCTTAAAACCCCAAGTAGATTGTAAACCAAGAAATCGTAGGAAGTTCGCATTAGTACAGCCAGGATGGTTGCAAACAAACCTACATCGAACCATTAGCATAAGTGGATCATTTGGAGTGTAGAAAATAACCCACACGATACAAGGCTGATGGAACCAGAGTCTCGTATGGTTCATTGAGGGTGATGACTCCACCAACACCAAGCTTCTTCAGCCGGGGAACATCCTTAGGAAATGGGACGGCACCCAGTAGTAGATACTGCAGGGGAAAAAAGCAACGGAAACTGTCAAAATATTAACCAAATAATAACATAAGCTCAAATCGAGTGAATCATATTTCATCTCCACATCTTCAACAAGCTGCCATCTTGTATCCCAATTCCCAACGATCAAATACTAGCTAGAAAACTGGTCGCCCAAATGACCAACAACATCAATCAAATCTATTTTCCTGGCCAGAAACGTGAATACACCATCCAGTTTACAGAAAGACGCCGACTTGAACACGGAAAGCAAATACACAATTAGAAGTTTCTCCTAAGAAGCAAAACAGCCCCCTCCAGTTTCTCAGCTACCAAACACTTGATAAACGGCAAAAAGGAAAACACCCAAAAGGAAAACCGATCCGCATACTTCCACCCATAACAGAGCAGCAAAAGGATAGAACGAAGAGAGGTAGGAAGATCAACCTGGTCAACTTCATCCCACCATCTGAACTCAGCCTGGATTTTGTTCCGAAACACATTATAGAAAAGCGTGGGGTAGAAAAGAATCCGAGCACCAACTCCAACCAGGGCTCGCTTGGCGTCAACCCTAACAATCTGAAGCTGCATCATCTGCTTCTCGTAAACGCCATTGTCTTCTTCCCTACAACCAAGACCGGACTCCTGATCGTCCAGCTCCTCGATCTTCATCGCAATCTCTCTCAAATAGGGAACCCAACTCCAGAACAGAGAAAGTAGCCAAAAAGTCGTCACGAATTCGAACACGGAATCGCAGCTACTCGCGTCCCCGAAAGGTGGAGCATTGAATTGTCTACCGGGAATTGGAGTGAGAGTTGGGTATCGCAATCACTGGAGGGAAAGGATCGGGAGAAGATGATCGAAAGAGAAGAGAAGGGTGGGATGGGAAAATGGAAATTAAAGGGTTGAGGAAAGATCGGATCAGGCGGATTCGGTAGCGGAGAGAGATGGATTGGGATTTGGGAGGAAAAGAAGCTGAAAGTGAGAAGAAGTGTGAAATTGGGGAAAACTGGGAAATCAGTTTCTCGTGGACTAGAGAGAGAGCGAGAGTGGTAGAAACAAAAAAGAAATATAATTAAAAGGATAAATGAACTTGAACCGACCAAAATGCCCTCGCTAGTGTAAGATATTCACGATGTGCCACGAGGAGTGCATGTGGTAGCACGATAAAAAAGTCACCATATATACCGCCATTTATACATTTATTGCAGTATAAAACAAATTAGTTTTTTGGCTCGCGCTTTGCGGCGGTGAGCAACTAATAATAATTAATTTTTCATCCTCACATTTGATGATTGAACTTGAACTTGAACTGACGAAAATGCCCTCGCTAGTGTAAGATATTCACGATGTGCCACGAGGAGTGCGTGTGGTGGCAGAATAAAAGTCACCATATATACCGCCATTTATACATTTCTTGCAGTATAAAACAAACTAGTTTTTTGGCTCGCGCTTCGCGACGGTGAGCAACTAATAATAATTAACTTTTCATCCTCACATTTGATGATTTAGTTGAAATAAAATAATATCTAAAATAATTTAGGTAAGATACTTCTATAAGCTTTACTTAGGATTTTAATTATTAAGGAACACTTATATGGTACATTTGTTTAACTGATACATAAGAAATCATTGTTCACTTATAAGTTTTACGTAATATATTTGTAATTTACGTTATTTTTATAAAATGATGTTACCTAAATATTTTGTAGTGAATGCTCTAATAATAAAATTAAGTTACTGTCTTACGGATGAATCTCACATTTGATTAAACTATTATGTTAAATTACTTAACTTACAAAATATTTTCGTAATGCAAATTGATGAGATGATTAATGTTGTATGCAATAAAAAAATTTGTTTAATAATAAGTGGATCAAATTATGATGCAATCAAAGTCACGCAGCTTTCACTCGAACAAGAACAAGGATAAAGATGGACTCCAATCGGACAGAACTTGCTTGTGGAAAGGGGCAATTGGTATGTCAAACCAATCGGACAATCCCAACTAGAAGTAAAGGGCACTTGGAAGGGTAGAACTCGCCACAATCTAAGTGGATATCCGATTGATAAGAGTTTGCACTAGCTCTCTCCAGAATCACTCAATGGAAGAAGAAAGTAGGGCTAAAAACCTCAAAGGAGGACTCGGCAAAAGCCTTGAATAAATCAGAAGTTTGGTGATAATTGTCTAAAAAAAACCAACGTGTTCAGCCCTTTAAATAGGCAAAGTACAACCCAAATTCGACTCCGACATGGAAAAACAATCATAAACCGACTTTAAAACAAGGAAACTCAGAAACATCCCAGCAAACCCGTTAAGCCCAAACCGTTAAGTAAACCCGTTAAGGCTGGACCCGTTAAGCAAACCCGTTAAGGCTGCTTCTTGCAATCTGCCTTCTCTTTAGCACTTCCTTCCTCTTCCACGACTTGAATCATCATACATGTTTTGGACTTCAGCAACTCCACATCCATGTCTCGAAAATAGCACTCCAAATAAGTAGCAAACTTCTCTTTGAATGCCTTAGCCTTAGTTCGAGTGATTGGCCCCTTGATGTCCTCATCAAATTACGAAAAGTATCAAATTTTAATAAACTGTTATCAAAAAGATAAATGACCTTACATAATATTTATAAAAAAACTGTGGTGGTGGATTCGCTTGGGGGCTCCTGCTTCGGGAGTATAGTCAGTTAGTCAAGTCTTATCATCTATTTATAGTATTAGGCGTAGTTCCTTGAACTGCTAACTGTACTACCCATCGAGTGACACATGAAGCCTTGTTATTGTCCCTTTAGAGCTAACTTCTTTTGATTATGTAGGCTGACTTCACTTTGGCCATTTTTTATATTGTGATACGTATGTGAAATTTTTGACCATTTTATTTACTTTTTGACCATCATTTTGTCCAAAATGTCTAATTAGTTTGCTGATTCACTTCAAAAAGTAATAACCAACCCTTAAACCTACCGCATATATATAGCAAGTAATTTGAGCATTATAACCAACCATTAAGCCTACCGCTTATGCACGATAAGTAATTTGAACATTTTGGATGAAAAGATATAAACGTTTATGACCATTTTGTTTACTTTCCATCCATATATTTATCCAAAACTTTTTGTTACATTATCAACATTTATGACCATATTGTTACAGGGTCTACATATGATATTTTGGTTAATTATCCCTCTTGGCATTGATTTATTCTTTCAATTAAAGAATGACCTTGCACAAATTAATCGGGATGCTTGTGCAACCGCTTGGTACTTCACATGTGTAGAGCCAGGACCCTACAATAGTCCTTCCCCCATGATAACCGACCATTTCATGAACAATAAAAAAAAGGGATTGTTATTCGTCGCCCTAAAAATCCTTATTTGTCGCCCTAATTCACTCTCTAAATTTTCGTAAGCGATAGTAACTCAGACTTCCAGGAACTTGCCAATTAATAATTTAATGAGAGCTACAGAGACAAATTGATGTTGTGCTGAAATAAATAAAAGGCGGTGGGTTATTAGTGAGTGCAACATAGGTGTGAAGTGAAACTACGAGATGGTCGGGTTGAGTCCCCTCAGGGTTTGGCCGCCCCAAAGCTCCATCTAATCGACAAGGTTGTCGAGTCTCATTAAAATAAATCATTACTCATCCAAATGTTTTGTAATTTTCAAGTTTTGCCTATGTATCGGTTTGAGTTGGACGGTTGAGTTAACTTTCGCATTACAATGTTTACCTCTAGTAAAGTGCTTAACCACTCGGCCCCAATTGGGTTGTTACTTGTCTTAGCCTAGAAAACTTGATAATTTTGGGGTCTTTCATAGATTGAGTTCACTCAAAGTTTTCAAACCATAGGGTATTGTGGGGTTTGAGTTCAATGGCTTGCTAATCCTTGGGTTATGCTTTTCCCTAACCTTTCTCTTGAGAAGAATGGTTTACCTTTTTACTAATATTCAACAAGTTTTATACATCTCACATTTATTCCATTTGTTTTCGTACTTCACATAAATATCAATCCATATTCGGCGCATTGCACACCATCTTTCCATTAGACTACCACATCTAGGGATGGCAATGGGTCGGGTTGGGTCGGGTTTTGCCCCAAACCCATGGGTTTATCCGTGAAAAAAATCCGGGATAAAACCCACTGGGTTTGAAAAACTCAAACCCAACCCAACCCGCTGGGTATCCGTGGGTTCATGGGTACCCACGGGTTTTTGTCGTAAAAAATTTACAATAACAAGTTCCTATCAAAATTAAAGTCAAAATATCAATCTCTCAATACAAATTATCCACATATAAAACACCATTCTAGAAAATTCAAGCAAATCACAAATTAACTATACAAATTGTTCAACACCAATCTAGAAAACTCAATAAAATTGAAGCAAATCACAAATTATCCATAAATAACATGATTAATTGAAAGCTTCTTCCTTTCAATTAAGTTTCTTCACTCTCCACTTGATGACATCAACTTCATTCTACACAGTTAGAAAGAAAAAATTAGACATGTCTCCACAAACATAAATAAGATTAGTTGTTCAGAATATTAGATATACCGAGAAAATTAATTACATGGGTGTGGGCGGGTACCCATGGGTCGGGTTTACCAAAACCCAAACCCAACCCGGTGAATAGTGAACGGGTTTAAACCCAAACCCGACCCAAAACCCGTCAACAAGAATTTTACCCGCGTTGATCGGGTTGGGTCGGGTGGGTACCCGTGGGTTTGGGTTTTGTTGTCATCCCTAACCCCATCACATCAAATAATTTCTATTTGGTACCTACCCATAATTCTAGGAACTAAAAATGGCGATGATGCAACTGACATTCGACTTATATGTTTTAGTTGCAACAAAAATAGGTTAGGTGGTCATCATACAACCTGCATGATACTTAAATGCCACCCAGTGCATTTAACCCTAAAGCTGGATGATGCTCATGTGTTATTATCACAAAAGATAGAGCAAAAGGACAAATACTCCTTACCAAGGGTTGTACAACTGTTATGGAAGTCATACGAAAAAAGTTATTAATAAAATATTTTGTACTAAACTATAATTGAACCGTATCCTTCATGGGCGTATGTTATTGGAAAGAGGGTTGAGATGGCAGGTGGGAAATGGTCAATCGGTCTCCCTTCTCCAGTCTAACTGGATTCCTGGGTATCAGTTGGATCCCCCTGCCTATAATCCTCGGATCTTGCCTGAGGGGGGTGATCCCTTGGTGGCGGAGGTTATTCGTGAGGGGGGAGGGAGGTGGTCGGATGGAATGCTTAGTCAATGGTTTGACCCTCCCACCTGTAAGGCTATTAAAGCTATTCCCCTCCCGCGTCGGGATGTTCCGGATAAGCTCATCTGGCATTTTACGGCTGACGGGGTCTTCTCGGTTAAGACGGCTTATCATTTGGCTGTCAATTTGGACAGAAGGAGGGGGGTGGCGTTCCTCGGTGAGCTGGATGGATAAACCGAGTTGGATTAGAGTCTGGGAGGCCAACATCCCTCCGAAGTTGAAGGTGTTTGTTTGGCAAATTCTTAATCGGGCTCTGCCGACTATGGAGGCGCTTATTGAGAAAAAGGTCCAGGTGCAACCCCGGTGTCCAGTTTGTTGGGATGCCCGGAGACCCTGGAGCACTTGTTCCTTTATTGTCCAGTGGCGCGGGCTCTCTGGGATTATTCTGGGCTGGAATACTTGGGAGAGGGATTGCCTCGGCAGACTTTTCCGTTATTTCTCAAGCGTCTGCTGGGTTTGATTCACCAACCGTCGGTGGTTATGGTTGTTGTTGCGATCCTTTGGAAGATCAGGCGATCTCGGAATTGGGTGGTTTTTGAGGGCAAACAATTTGGGATCCCAGCTCTTATGCGCCAGTTTAATTAGCAGTATGAGGAATGGGTGGGGCTCCCAGTAGACCAGGTCCCTAGGGCACAAGTCCCGATAATGCGATCTTCACCTCAATTGGATGATTCCCATTTGGTCTGCATGTGGGACGGGGCTACTAAGGGTGGGTCTCATTCGGCTGGTGAGATGGTTCTTTTTGACCCCACGAGGACACTCTTAATGGCTAGAGGGATCTAGTTTGCTCAAATAGATGATCCTGCAGTGGTGGAATTAATTGTGCTTCGTGAGGCTATCATTTGGTGTATGGAGCAAGGTTTGTCGGCTGTCCGTTTTGAGGGCGATGCGAAAGTGATAATTGATAAAATTAATCAGGCCGACACAAGAGATAGCCGGTTGGGTGCGGTGCTTGAAGAGGTTGTTCATTATATTCGTACTCAGTCTGGCTTTAGTGTGCGGTTTGTAGGTCGGGAGAACAATAGGGTAGCTCATTTGGTAGCTAGGAAAGCCCTTTCTTTGTACCCGACTATGAGTCGCTTCTTTGATTTCCAGACCTGGCTAGTTTCCAGGGTGTAACTATTTTATGCAATGATCAATATATGATATCTTTTGACAAAAAAAAAATCGTTTCCTACCGTTAAAACTGCCAGTCATTTTGAATCCGATATCCAGTCCGACCGACCGGAAAACTAGAGTGTCTCAAACATTGCTCATTACAAGATACAAGAACTCCATTCAACCAACTCAAACAGACACAAGTTTCACACTACAAAGATGGCAAAAGGGCCATATCCACCAAGAAATGCTTGGCATTCCCCTCATCTTTGAGTTACGCTCCAGTTTAGTTTTAGCCGTAAAGCGGTAAAGCCAACATTGTCGCCTACATTGCTAAATTTCACATCTGACGCGTTCTGCTACCTACCTCCAAAACCCATCCAACCACTCATTCAGTCCTTTTCTTTTTGGTAAGAACTCTTTCAGTTTTCCACACAAGGACGGAGACAGCAATAACCACAGTTGGAAAAAGGATTAGAGAAATTTACAACTAGCCAACAAAATCTAACCAAAATTGAACAATCCAAATCCATCATCCATCTCCAATTCTATCTTGAAAACATCACCATTTCTATCTCTTATAAACCCACCTAGCGGGAAGCAATCAAATCCCAACCAACCAACCAACCCAATCTTTTCCTCACCGTCGCCGCTGTTTCTCCGGCCACGTCGTTGCCGCCGAGACAGAGAAATCATCTATCAGCGGGAATCTCCGTTGACCCAATCTAACCCAGCTCCCTCATCTCCTGAATTTCTCCCCTTTCGTTCCCTGTTTGGCGTTCTCGAGAGTTCTCGTGGTCGTCGCCTGGTCAAAGATTGGCTCCGGTCACCTGCTGTTTACCGATAAACTAAGGTACGGGGAAAATGTCGCCCTCGTTCTTTTATGCTTTCCGGCGATTGCCATTTGAAGAACTTGTATGAGACCGAAATTTGGAACTGGGTCTTCGAGGATTAGGCTGGTCGGCGATTTCTATGTAGATAGACTACGCCAGATTTTCTTTTTGTATCTTCGAGGATTAGACCGAAAATTGGGTTGAGAATTTGTCTTGGGATGTAATGGCGGATTCAACGTGGTTCTGATTGTGACGAAACTTGTACTGCAAAAGAAAGATGTGGGCTTGGTAGGTTGCAAGAACAAGCACCTTTAGGGACAAAGTTCAAATCTTTGAGTGCTGAGGCGTTTCACAAATTGACCCGGGAAGTTTTCGGGCAACAGAAGAGTGCATTTATCTGAAATTTGTGCCATTCGGTTCTGATATCGTTGAATTTGTGATTGCATCGTAGTGAAAACGTTGGCTATTCATGCTGCTGCATTATTTACTTATAAGTTGCTTTGACCTTTTGATTTATTCTGTTCATTGTTATGAGCAGGCCTTTTGGGTATCTGTCAGGAATACGAGTAAGAGATATTGATCTTCGGTTTTGTAATTGATCTTTCCCCTTGTACAGATAAAAGTATTGCCGATCCTGCTCTATAACTGTGTTGTTGAATACAAGATCTCCTAATGGAGCATCGATCAGCATCACCAAAAACAGAGGACCTAGATGCCCCTCTCCACTTGTTAGGGTTTGAAATTGAGGAAGTGTCACCAAGCAAAGTCACAGGCCGCCTTCTGATAACAGAAAAATGTGTTCAGCCTTTCAAGGTGCTGCACGGTGGAGTATCTGCCTTGATGGCAGAGTCTTTAGCTAGCATGGGGGCGCATATGGCCTCCGGGTACAAAAGGGTTGCTGGCATTCACCTCAGCATTAGTCATTTGAAGCATGCTGATCTCGGCGATCTTGTTGTCGCTGAAGCCACTCCTGTCAACGTCGGCAAAACCATCCAGGTGTTTACTTGCTCTTTACTTCGTTTTAATCTTCAATCTAATTTTTCTCATCTTTGTGCTCCATCTTGGCCTAGTGAACATTGAGTTGGATCTCGATTTGATCAAAGCTTGAAACTTGCTGACATTCTTTGTGGCTTGCTTGCCCTTGGCATGATCTTCTGATCTCTATTTGGACATTGGTATCATGTATCATGACTAGCATACTGTCCCTGAAAGACTGTTGCTTTACCATCTGAAATCAAAGCTGGGAAATGAATGGCATTTCGATTTTAAGCGTGGTTCATGGTTATTACTTATTTGATGATAAGCCCTGGATGCTTATTCAGAGCTACACAACGGATCACATCGCTCGACCAAACATTTGGTCTCCGTCTTGGAGCTTAGACATTAATGGTGTGTGGTTTCTTTGTGAACCATGAATAGGTCTGGGAGGTGCAAATTTGGAAAGTTGATCCTTTAACCACAGACAAGAAGGCTTTGATTTCATCATCCAGAGTCACTCTCCTAAGCAACATGGCGGTGCCGGAACATGCCAAAGAAGCTGGTGATAAACTCAAGAGATATGCTAAACTGTGAAAAATATGTTGTGTGTACTGTAAGGTTAAGGCATTACCCGGTGCGAATATTCAATCGTACTACATTCTGTACAGAAGAGAACTCTTTGATTGTGTTGGGCGAGATAGAAATAAAGAAAATGCAGCAGAGAGCGCACATGGTTGATCCACTCTCACGAGACCTTGGTGTTCAATATCGTTGCAGATCTTAGGCTCTTCTCTCTTGTCGGTGCTCTGAGCTGTGATGGTGAGGTGCCATGGCTCCAATGGTTCGACCTTAGGTCCGTCTTCTGGTCTCTTGTCCTGCTGTTGTTGTGTTAATGTCGCTTCTTTTGGTTAGAGTAGCGGTATGAATAGACACCAAGTGAGGAGACGAAGGCAAATGAGATTTTACATCTGGAATCCAACACAAGAGCTATTGGCCAAGAAGTTTTAGAGTGGGCTTGGGCTCTTTAAGTTGTAAGGTGGGCTTAGCCCCATTGATGTCAATCAATTTTTTTGAACCAAATAAATGGGGTTAATTGCATTGTTGGTCACTGAGATTACAAAAAACGTTCAAATTTGGTCACTCAAAATATTTAAATTCATCGGTGGTACTTCAGTTTACTGAAACCGTTCATGTTTGGTCACTCTCCGTTAACTTTTGCTGATGTGGCAGTCAACTCTAAAAGTTGACCGTTAACTTAGTGACGTAGCAACTAAAAAATTATTAAAAATAAAAAAATAAACTTTTATATTTTTCACTTCATTATTACATTCATTAAAAAATAAAAAATAAACATATGTCGGAAATTGCCATTTTCGTGGTTCCTTTCATTTTTTGCAGATTAACACATTCATTTCCTTGGACTTGTATGTATGGGATAAGCGATCAAAGGTCTCCTCTTTTCCTCCGCCCTCTGTTTTTTTCTCTGTGTAAGAAACAGAGCATTAGTTCACAATGAAGTACATGAGAACAAACAGCTTGAAGTTGAAGAGGCTCTTCTCATTAGTCCGCCGAACCCTCGAAGAAGAAGACGAAGAGATAATCGGGAATGAAGATGGAAAGCCAATTCGCCAAACCAAAGAGAATATCGTCATCAAGTCCCCCAGACCACCCACCTAGAGATGCTTCTCTTACGACGAAATATCACTCGCCACTAATGCCTTCCACCCAGGTTCCTTCCCACTTTCTTCTCAAGTTGTTTCCTTCCGTTTCTAGCTCATCATTCCAATTCTCACGCGATTTTCGCGCCGGCGGCAGATAATTTGGCGGGAAAAAGAGGGTATGCGGAGGTTTACAGGGGAACCATGCCGGGAACAGGGGAAGTTGCGGTGAAACGGCTGACGAAATCGTGTACCGACGAGAGGAAAGAGAGGGAGTTCCTGTCGGAGATTGGAACAATTGGCCATGCCAATCATCCAAACGTTCTTCCTTTAGTTGGTTGTTGCATCGACAATGGACTTTACCTCATTTTCCAATACTCCTCCACTGGCTCCCTAGCTTCTCTTCTCCATGGTAAAACTTCAAAGCCAAACTCACTCATTATGATGCTTGAATTGAAAATTCATCGACTCTGTTTTTGGGTTTCTTCCATTGCAGGGGAGAATTATGGAGAGTTGAATTGGAGAAGAAGGCACAAGATAGCGATCGGGACGGCAAAAGGGATTGAGTATCTCCACAAGGGATGCCAAAGAAGAATCATTCACCGGGACATCAAATCGTCTAATGTCCTATTGACGGAAGATTATGAGCCCATGGTATGTTCCTTTTATTTATTTTTTTTTCTTCTTCTTCTTCTTCCCTTCACAAATTTGTTGCTCTGTTTATCCGTCTCTCACCGGTTTCAATTCAAATTGCAGATATCGGATTTCGGGTTGGCGAAATGGCTGCCAACGCAATGGTCTCACCATTCAATCGGACCCATTGTAGGAAATAAAGAAATTAGGTTTTTTTTATTTTTTAATGAATGTAATAATGAGGTGGAAAATATAATAGTTTATTTTTTATTTTTAATAATTTTTTAGTTGCCACGTCACTAAGTTAACGGTCAATTTTTAGAGTTGACTGTCACATCAGCAAAAGTTAACGGAGTTGGACGGAGAGTGACCAAACATGAACGGTTTCAGTAAACTGAAGTACCACCAATGGATTTAAATATTTCGAGTGACCAAACTTGAACGTTTTTTGTAATCTCAGTGACCAACCATGCAATTAACCCCAAATAAATGTAGCACTTTAGTATAGATGGATGGACAATTAATATATGAGATAAGTATCCATTGTACAACAGGGCTGCCCACTTAGTGGCTTCTGGTGCCCTTTCATCGACAGCTCGATATTATGTCGACTGTCGCGTCTGATTTTCTAGAGTCCTGTAATATCTATTTCATTCCCGATCTATGAAAAAAAAAAAAATTAATAAGCTAAGTGCCCTTCTTTTCTTCCCACCATATCTAGGGAAGTGGAGGACAGCAGCAGCATACCCCCGTCTTAGCCTAAAACTAAAAGGTCAGTGGGGGAAAAATAGTTACAACAGTGCTTCAATGGCCATATATAGACCATTCATTCTCATTGGAAGACCAGCAGTCAGTAAGTTATAATAATAATATGGCAGTGGGAAACGATCGAGATGGCTGCAAATGCAAATGGACTCCAATCCCACGTTACTCTACGCTACGGCCTCCCCCTTGTGCGCTAATGATTAACTTTGCACGGCCACTAGACTAGAGAGGAGACATTGCTAGTTCAACTCTTCGTTTTGAAGCAAAGAGCTTCGGACCAAAAGGAACGAGATGAATGAGTGAAGACTAACTGAGGGAGGGTTCTGAAGCCAGCCGGCAATTGCTTTGCTTGATGTCTAAGCAAACAGCTTTGGAATTGGACCACCAGTGACAGTGAGGTGGTGGACATTGTATACCACTACCATCAATTGTTACGACGTGACTGTTTTCATTTGTTTGGAACACATGCATATTAATGAAATTGTACTCTAGGTCCTGTAAAAATAAAAAGAATTCGTAATCTAGGGTTATTTATTTACCTATGACGAGAGAATTGAAAGTTTGAAGTATGTGAGATCTCTATCGCTCACGTCGATGATAAACTTGAGAGAGTTGAAAATTGAAGAATGCGATATACCTCTCGCTCACATTGTGGGTATCAAGTTCTTAATGGCTTTCGCAATGAAGATCGGAGATTTGAAAATTGAAGGAGAGAGATAATAGCCTGAAGATTGTATGTGAATCGTGGCATTTTTGTACAAAGAAAGACACCTGCAATGTCTCAAATAAATTACAAATAAGACAATTTTTTTTTATATTGCCCATTACATCATAAAGAATCGAGAATGTGAGATCCCTATCGCTCACATCAATGGGATGTGTGCCAAAATCAAGACTATGTCCCCCTACCAGCTAGGAAATTTGTTGCATATTTACATCCTCTAGAGACACATGAGATTTTAACATCCCAATCCAAACTCATCATTTGGATAATCTCCTACGCCAAAAGGTCATGTCATCGGTCGTAGTTCTTGTTGTTTGAGATAATTCCAAGAATCACCGTTGTTGAATCCAAACACATAAAAGCTTTTCTTTACCGTTGTTGAATACCAAAACCCAAGTGGTCATTGATGTCATGAGGTGCCAAAAATCTTAACAGAAGAGTCATGGTCGGTATGATTAGAGATCCTAGATGTCATTGATCCAGGATTAACATATTAATCAATTCTAACCAGACTTCAATTGTTTTCTAAAAATGATTAGGCTTTCCTGAGTCTCCTCTCCTCCCTCACACTAAATCTGACTTCATCATGGATAGTCCTATAGATTCGCTCTGTGTCGTCAACCCGCGCAAAGAAGAAAGTTGCTTTGCTACAATGGAAGGTTGAAAGATAATTTACTCGAGCCCCACATCCAATTATGTATCGTTATTATTTAATAAAGTAGCAGGTGAATCTTTTTCCTCCACTGACCCGCCATTTTCACTGCAAATCGATCATTGACTATTCAACACTCCTTTAAGTCAAGCTTTCTACAGTGAGTATGTCGATCAAAAGCCAAAAATTAGTAAATTGTTATTCCCATGATTGTTGCTGCCTTGCTGGTATAGGTGTCAAAACATAGCCCGACCCGATTAACCTGCCCGATCAACCCGACCCGCAACCTGACTGGAATCCGAATTGACTAAAAGTCAACAACCCGTAACCCGCCCGACCCGCAACCCGATTGATCCGCAATCCAACTAACCCGCAACCCGACTAACCCGCAACCCGAACCCGATTGACTCGCAACCCGACTGACCCGCAACCCGATTAACCCGAACCCGATTGACCCGAACCCGACTAACCCGTAACCCGACCGACTCAACCCAAATTTCATCTAATCCACTTGAATAATTATAAAATTATACAATAGATAGTTTTTCAAAATAAAGTTTTCATTCTAAACTTAAGTAAATTTTTTTTTTCATTTCGTATAAGAAATTTTAAAAATATGAAACTCACTTGATATTACGTATTTTAAGAAAATTACAAAAATTGAAACATGAAGGTCACTTGAGATCATGACAATATTAATATATATATAAATTAAAATTTTGGTTAATTTAACTATTCAATTAAAATTTTGGTTAATTTAACTATTCAATAAAATTATCAATTAAATATAAATAAAGTAAAGTAATGTATTTGTTAATTTGATGTTTTTAAAAAAAAGAGGAAAATTTTGGTGTATTCAAGTTTTTGGGAAAAGAAAGAAAAGGGAAATTTGGTTCTTTGAATTTTTTAGAAAATAAACAAGTGGGAATTTTGGTGGTTTTGATATGTGGGAAGAGAAAGAAGTGAGAAAGTTTGATTCTTTTGATTATGAAAGAGAAATAAGGAGGAAAACTTTTGACTTTTCAACTTTTTGTAGAAGGAAAAAATAGGGTAATTTGGTTCTTTCAATTTTATGGAAGAGAAAGAGGAGGGAAAATTGAGTTTTACTAATGTATGGAAGGAAAAAGAAAGAGGGAAATTTTAGTATTTTTGTGAAAAGAAAGAAGGAAACAAATTTGGTGTTTTTCAATTTTTTGGTTTTTCATAATTTTAGCTTTTGAAATATGAATCTTTAACTTTTATATGGAGGGCATGACTAGTTAAAATTATTCTTATATGCTTTGAAGGCTAATATGTATATATGTATGTAATTTTTTATGGGCTAATAAATAAATTAACCATTAGTTACAACAATTTATACTAAACTTGATAAGTAATCTTTGACGGTTCGTTGTTTAGGATATAAAGTATATGGTTAGGATATAAGGTATAAGGTACATATGGTTTAGGGTGTATATGGTTAGGGTATAAGATATTGATGGTCTTGACGGTTCTAAGTTTTTTATTAACATATGTTCACTTGAAGTCATTTGAAGTCTTTAACGGCAGGAGATCCATTTTTAATTTATGTTTATGGTACGTGGTTAGGGTACAAGGTATGTGGTGTAAAGTATAGGATATATGGTTAGTGTATAACAATTAGCAAATATCACTTTTTATCTATGTTTTGAAAATCAAAGTATGAATTTCACTTTTAAATTAACTATACTAGCAAAATCACAACTCAAGGACATATGGTTAGGGTATAGGTTATGTGGTTAGTGTATAATGTATTGATGGTTTAGGGTATACAATCAACAACATATACTAACTTAATATTGTTGATTGAGGGTAAAGCTAAGTGTATAGGATATATGCTATTGAGTAAGTTATGATTGAAGTCACAATAATTTTACTAAATTTGATAGCTAATCTTTAATGGTTCAATTTTTAGGATAATTCGAACAATTTTACAAATAACTCGTTTGGCAACAATTTACTAAAGTTATTTGGGCAATTAGTTATTTTGAAATAACTCCTTTTATCACTATGATTTTGCCAAATACCACACGCCAAATACCAGATTTGCATGGTTATACTAAACGAGATACTTTAATCCAATTACTACTAAATTACTACTAAATATAAAATAAACAATTAATAGTGTCTTTTGGTTGCAAATATTGATATCACCATTACTATTAGCTATAATACTTTACCAATTATGATTAATTACATAACAAGTTTGCAAGTCATACAAATTGATTTAACATTTTGACTAGTTTTTTTTTCAAAAAAAAAAGTATATATATACGAGGTAGAAATAAATTGGTTAAAAAGTTGAGAAAATATTTTAAATTAGTGTAATAAAATGTGTAAAGTGGTAATGAGTAATGAGTTAAGTTACTTGATGCGCTGGCCCGAACAACCCGAAATCCGACCCGCCTGACCCAAAACCCGATGAACCCGTAACCCGATTTGCCCACAACCCGATTGAATCCGAACCCGATGAACCCGCAACCCGACTAACCCGCAACCCGTTTGAACCCGAACCCGATGAACCCGCAACTCGTTTGAACCCGAACCCGATTGAACCCAGCCCGAACCCGCCCGATTGACACCTATACTTGCTGGTATGATATCAATCTAATAAGGTATTGCAATATACATTATTATCTCAATGTTGTCACTATAGTTCAACGTTTAAAGCCTTTTGTTAGTAAATTTCATTTTCCATACAGTAGCCAGGGCTATTAAGAACCAATTCGCTCATAAACGACTCGGCGTTCAACTCGTTCGATACTTGACTCGTCTGTAAATGAGCCGAGCTCGACCCATGACGAGTTCAACTCGATAGGCTCGCTAACAAGCTCGAAATCCTTTAAGTGTTTGATGTTGGCGTCTTGTTCAAACTCGATCTTAAGCTACAATCGATATTTTATAAGTTGAACTAGATTTTTTATAGTTAAACTCATTTAACGCGCCAAACTTCTATTTTTGTAAACTAACCGAACTCGAGGTTGTCTATATAATGCAAACAAACATACACAAGAAAAGCTGAAATTCTGGTAAAGATGGAGTGATAGCCGATAGCTAGCTTAGCCTTAGCCAGCTCGTGAAAATGAACACGAATGGAGGGCCCACCACCATCACTTCCCCTTTGTCCGATGCTCTGTGACTTATGAGCGTTAATGGCCATCTTCTACACTACCCAAAAGATCAACAAACAAAAACCTACACAAATCCAAAAACACACCCATCAAAGCTACTCACTTTCACAGTCGCTGAAAATGATGCACACCAGGAGCAAGCGCCATACCAAGATCTCCCTCTTGTCTCTGTTCTTCCTCCTCCTCCTACCCACAACCCACACAGCCACCGCTGCCGTCACAATCGGCGGCGGCGTCAGCGTCGGAATCGGCAATGCAGGTACCGGAGGCGTATGGATCGGCGGCGGAGTCACCTCCCCCCAAAACCCCAACCATCCGGCCGGCTCCACCGCTTACTCTGCTCTCCAGGCATGGAAATCCGCAATCTCCGCCGACCCTTCCGGCGTCCTCGCCACGTGGGTCGGCGAGAATGTCTGCTCCTACAAAGGAATCTTCTGCAAACAATCCTCCTCCTCTTCCACCGTCACCGTCACCGGGATAGATCTCAACCGCGCAAATCTGCAGGGAACCCTAGTCACTGAGCTTTCCCTCCTCACCGATTTGACCCTCCTCCACCTCAATTCCAACAGATTCCGCGGTGCCGTCCCGGAGACATTCCGTGACCTAATTTCCCTCCAGGAATTAGACCTCAGCAACAACCAATTCTCCGGCGAGTTCCCCTCCTCCGTCCTCTACATCCCCAACCTCGTCTACCTCGACCTCCGATTCAACTCCTTCTCCGGCCCGATCCCCGACGCCCTCTTCGACAAGCGCCTCGACGCCATCTTCCTCAACAACAACCAATTCGACGGCGAAATCCCCGACAATCTCGGCAATTCCCCTGCCTCCGTCATCAATTTGGGCTACAACAAGTTCACGGGCCAAATCCCCTTAAGCCTGGGTTTCATGAACTCGAGGCTCAAAGAGATTCTCTTCCTCAACAACCAGCTCACGGGGTGCGTCCCCGAAGGAATCGGGCTCTTCTCCCAGATGCAGGTTTTCGACGTCAGCTTCAATTCGCTGATGGGTCATTTGCCCGACACGGTGGCGTGCTTGAACGAGATCGAGGTTCTGAATTTGGCACATAATGAGCTCTCGGGTTCGGTCCCGGAGCTGGTTTGCTCGCTAAGGAGCTTGGTGAATTTGACGGTGGCGTACAATTTCTTTTCTGGGTTTAGCCGGGAGTGTGCCAAACTGTTTGTGAGGAACGTGGGGTTCGATTTCGAGTCGAATTGTATCCCCGGGAGGGATATGCAGCGGCCGCAGCCGGAGTGCTCGTTGGTGCCCGGCGGTGGGCTGAGTTGTTTGAGGATTCCGGCGGCCCAGCCGCTGGTTTGTGGGTCGATTTTGGGTAGGGTTGGGGCCGGCGCCGATCGGCAGGTTCGCCCGGGACCGGGACCGTCTTCTTCGCCGTGACATTTGGGGTAGGTTGGGTGGGTAGTTAATTTTGGGTGGACTGTTGTTGTAAGTTGAATCATGAATCAGTATGTATATTAGTTGATGGGATCGGATCGGTTCATTTATGATTCTGAACTTCCTTCTTATCTTGTGGGTGGCTAACCGAGCTTTCTCAGTTCTCACTGATTTATTGCTCTCGTCGTGTTGGTTGGGATTCACTGAAAATGGTTTTTGGGAATGGTGCTTTGTTGTTTATGTGTTGGCAATGGAAGTAGAAATGATGGTTCATGAGAGGGACTATTTTTGTTGGCAATGAACCAGAAATGGTTAAGAGGGGTACAGCTTGTCGTGGGGCTTCGATGATTTCTGCTCAACTGAATGTGGATCGAAATTAGCGGGTCCTTAGGGTTGGGATTTTTAATGGTATGAATGGAAATGAAAGGGAAAAGATCCAAGAGAATCTTTTGAAATACCATGTTGGTAAAGATGTGAGGAGGCACAACATCGAATTCGATCGATTTTATGTAATATGTGGTTAATCAATTAAATTGGTTTATGTAACCAAAATGTTCAAACCAAACCGCGTTGAACCAAATTGAATCGAACCGATGTGATGGTTGGAGTGAATCAACCGGTCCAACTACCATGGGCCGAATCGATGCAATGGCTCATTATTTTAAAATGAACCAATGTGTTGGTTGGGGTGTAACCACCTATATAAAGAGTTGTCTCCCTTCAAACGTACCCCTTCATTTTCTATAAATAGAACCATACCCCCTCTAGTTTTGGGAAAAAATCCCAAAGTACACTCGTTTTTAAAAAAAATTCCCAAAATACATTAGTTATAAAAAAATTCCCAAAGTACACATGTTTGGCATTCACCGATTTTGACATACGAAAACGGTGAAAACATCACCGTTTTAATGAAACGCGGTGAAAGCTCCCCGTGTCGATTGGCCACGATGATGCGACGCGGATCGCTGACGTGGACAAACGCAGCGATCCGCGTCGCTTTTCCACTCACCGTGGCCGTTGGATAAGGTGAGGCGCGAATCGTGGTTTTCTTCTCAGATCTGACGCCTCACAGCACGCCACGTCGCTATATCTGCGTCGCTCACCATTTTTGAGGAAGGCGGTGCATTCACCATCTTTGACAGCCACGGTGAACACTCCATTTATTTTCGCGGATCTCTCCCATCCCTCCCTATAAATAGGACCCCCCCCCCCCCCCCCCCCCCCCCTCCCTCCCTCTTCCAAATCACACCACCACATTTACAATTCTTTCTCCCTCAAACTATCCGCTCTAGTCTCGTTCTAAGTATGCCCTGCGGTTGGGCTAAGTCCGATCTTCCACATCAGAAAGAATTACTAGAGTTTGACCCTAAAGCCCCCGTCGAACCTCTGTCCGGCTTCCGCCAAAAAATGGACGAAGAGGCTCTTCGCGTAGGTTCTTGGTTTTTCTTTTGTGTTTTTTTAATCAAAACAATTTGATTTTGTGATTTTTTTTATTAAAACAATCTGATTTCATTACTTTTTTTATAGATGGGTGCCGAGATATACGATCCTTGATTGTATATCCATTATAGGCCAAGAGATAGAGACTCTTAACCGATCAAGAAGCACATCGCTCCCGTGCTATTTGGGATAACAATCCGGTAAATTGATGATTTATTTTACTTTATTTTATTATTTTATAAGATTTTATTTTGCTTTCTTTAAACTAACAAATTGTTGTTTTTCCTATTTTTTTGTAGGATTCCCGTCGTTCATAAAGGGACCACAAACCTGCTTGGCATCCACGGTTGGCGCCCTATATAGAGAGGACCGGGTTGGGTATGTTGCGGCATTTCATGCGGATCGAAATCGACAACGATCTGCTTACGACAATGGCGGAGTGATGGCGCCCCGAAATCCATAGGTTCCACCTTCCGGAGGGGGAAATGACGATCACCCTCAAAGACGTCGCGATCCTCACCGGGCTGCCGATTTCTGGAGAGGCCATCATTGATAACACTACCAAACCTGAAGGAGGTCGGGGGCCACCGCTCATTCGTGCTCAATTGGGATTTGACATGCCGACCACCACACCAATTCAAGGACGGGGGCATCCACCGTTGAATGCGGGATAAGTGTCGGTCCCGTGACTCGTAACTCACATCCGAAATGAGGTGGAAATCAATGATGAGACTCCGGAAGATCAAGTGGAGCGCTATGCACGCATCTACCTCATTGGTTTGGTGGATGGATTTCTGTTCCCCGACAAGTCAAACCGGTGGATTCAAAGCATATGTTTGCCATTAGGGGTGGCAAAATGGTTTTCGGTTAGCAGTTAACCGGAAGGTTTCAACCGAACTGACCGGTTTTTGGCTAACCGAAAAACTTATTCTGAATGCATCGGTCGTTTGGCGGTGGTTTTGGGCAGGGGTTTGGCTAGCCGACTAACCGGGGTCGAAAACCGGCGGTTAACCGGCTAACCGACCCCTACTAACCCTAAGTGTCGAGTCTGTCCTCAGCCCTCCTCCTCCCAAATCCATCGCCGCTCACTGCAGCAGCCAGCAGTTCTTCCAATTCCTTGGCGTCGTAAATCTCCTTCTCCTAAATCCATCGACCTCTTGCAATCCCCCTTTGGATCCGTCGATTTCCTCACCACTGCCATCACTTCCCTCATCGACCCGCCGCCGCCCAGCTCCCCCGCCGAAGAACTCGATCTCAACCCCATAAGCACCTGCCGCCGCATGTTAGTCGGATTCGGAATCCTCTCCTCGCCGCCGCATGTCAGTCGGATTCGGAATCCGTCATCCGCTGCCCGCCGCAGTAACCTCACTTCCTCGTTCTCGCTCTCGGTCGTCTCCCCAGCGCGGCTGCACTCGTCGAAGGAGAAGCTTCTGGAGGAGTAGCGGAAGCTCTCCGTCTCGTCGCCGTCGCGGGCGCCGTCCTCTTCCTCCGTTTCTTCGTCCCCCTCGTCGTAGGGCGTCACCACGGCGCCGTTCTTTTTCTCCCTTTTTCAATTTAGGGTTTCGAGATTCCGGGTCCGGGTCGTCGCTTAGCGTCGCTCCTCCTTGCGGATTCGATCGAGTCGCAATCCGACGCAGACAGGTTATCGTGGAGAAGCGGCGACCTCGAGTGACTCGGCACCATCCGCCTCGGCTGATTGGCGAGTGGGCGGCGGCGGTTGTCGGGAGTGGTGGGCGGAGGAGACGAGAACTTGGGGAAATTGAAAATTGGTGTCGCGTGCTTTGGGTTTGAAGGGCGAGAGGCGGTAGGTAAGCGGGGGCGGTTGAAGAGACGCCCGGTTAGACAGCACCTAACTGAAAACTGACCGATCGGTTTGCGGGTTTTCGGTTTAATCGAAACCGACCGGTTGCCACCCCTATTTACCATTGCTCCTTGGGGATTGGGACGCAATAGGGGAAAAGAGTTGGGGATCGGCCGTGTTAGCTGGCGTATACCGGGAGCTGTGTACTTGCTCGAAGGTGGGAGCGAAACAAGCTGGTGCTGCGATGTTCATCCTCCAGCTCTGGGTATGGGAGCATCTTCCAATGTTCGCACCTCAAGACCCACGTCCATACCGGAGAGCAGATGATGAGCCACACTTTGTGCCAAATCCCCCTTACGGTGTCAAATAAGTTTATTCTGTACTTAGCATAATTTAAATTTATTACATGCTTAGCTAGTTTTAAATTAAATTTATTCCGTACTTAGCCTAATTTAAATTTATTCCATGCTTAGCTAGTTTTAAATTAAATTTATTATGTACTTAGCCTAATTAAATTTAAATTTATTCCATGCTTAGCTAGATTTAAATTAAATTTATTCCGTAATTAGCCTAATTTAAATTTATTCCATGCTTAGCTAGATTTAAATTAAATTTATTCCATACTTAGCCTAATTTAAATTTATTCCATGCTTAGCTATATTTCAATTAAATGTATTTTGTACTTTTACTTACAAGGTGGATAGGAGCAAATACAAACGACCATCAACCTGAGCACTCGTTACTGTTTTATCATTCTGAGTTAGTGATAACGATGTAATTGCACATGTTTGCGCCCCTAGTTCTTATCCGTTTGAGGGGCATAGTCGTGTGTTGTGGCCTATTTTACGCCGGGTTGTGCTATTTTGTCATGTTTCAGGTCCCAGGTGTCAAAGGGAAGGCTAAGCGCGAGTTTCGGGGCATTCGGAAGTCATTTCGGTGAGCTGGAGCCAAAACACGGGCAGCCTAAGGCATTACACGGCCGTGTACTGCTGGCCGTGCTTTTTATGCCGAGAGCAAATTCAGTTTGGCCAATTCAGCTGCAAACACGGGCACCGAAGCACGGCCGTGTTCAGTCAAAGCACGGCCGTGTACATTGCGAAGCACGGCCGTGTTTAACCCACTTGCTGGCCGTGTAATTAAGCCCTGGCCGAGGCACGGGCGGAGTCAGGCAAAGCACGGCCGTGCCCTCGACCGTGCTTTGGCCACTGATGCCCTTTTAAGCAGATTTTCAGCCAAAAGGAAAGAGGAGAGCTGGGTTTTTGGATCCCAAACACCCAAGGGACGAACCAAAGAGAGAGAGGGCGATTTGAGGGCATTCTTGGAGTAGAGAAGGAGGATTTCTTCGCCTTGGAAGCTTGAGGAACAAGCCCGGACTTGAAGACTGATCATCTGAAGATTCTTACTGCAGTCTCTCTCTTCTCTATGGAGTAACTTCCCTTCACTTAGGTTTTGAGGAACCCTAGCTATGTTTGTTTGATTGGATGATTGTATGAGTACTCTAACTTGATAATCTTGAGTTCATATTCAATCTATGCATGTTTTCATGATTCAATTCTGCTTTAGTCGAGATTATTGATTCTGCTTTGATCCTATGAGAGGGAATACCTGATTAGGTCAATAGAGCACCATAGATTGATAGTAGTGGATCGATTGCTTTAGTCAAGGGTTGATTCACTGCTTTGTATCGATTGAGAACCTCTTTCGATAGAGGGAGTCTAGTTCAGAACGCCTTGATCAGTTGTTCTAGAGAAGGATACGTCCCTCTAGGCAATTGACTCAAGAGGGCCTTGTTCCTTTAGTCGAGACTCAAGGTCTAGTCAAGGATTCTCCGCATTGTGAATGAAAGTGAAACAGGTTAGAGATCATCAATCATTAATCTGGCTAGTGGCTAGGGGGAATCATACCTAAGTGAGTTCCCAACCTATAATTAGATTAACTTTAACTGTAGTTTGCTAGAGTAGTTTTAGTTCTTTCATCTTAATCTGATTTGCTAAATAATAAACTGAAGCTGAGTAATAGTAACTCTAGAGACCCGTGGATTCGATATTTATCACTTGAGCCACTATACTGCAGTCCCTTTCATTGGTTACACTTGGCCTTTGTTAGGTGTTGTGTTTTAGAGCAGTCAGTTAGATAAGCCTTGGTGGAATCAGGTAATCATGCTTTATCATATTTTAACAAGTTAAAGGTTTTCAATGTAAATGGTCGCTAATTGCAAATTTTGAATGAGTATAGATTACATGGGACCCATATCCACGTGAAGTGGTCGAGCTGCATCATCTTAGACACCCTCTGGATCACGAGACGTGGTTGTGCAAGGTGCCATTGATCTGCTGGCACATCGTGGAGTGACACCTACCCGATCGATCCTTGAGGCAATATCCAATGGAGCAACCAATTCCACAAACCCCGCCTCAAGGTTTCAGGGAGCTCCATGTCATCGACCTCTGACACGCGGCAAAGAATAGGCTTCTAAATCATCAGTTCTACATCAACATCTGGGAGAATAGAGGGACATGGGTGGTCCAAGGGATGCCGAAGACGAGACCGATGGGCTACCACGATGGGTACATGTAGTGGTATCGAAAGTTTACCAATAGATGAGTGTCAAAGCAAGGTGTTGTGATGGGTTCGTTGGTAAGTCATCCTAATCTCCCTCGTATTCTAATTATTTTGTTTTAAGGTTTAATTAATTTTGATTTATTTCGTGGATTGCTTAGGTTGATGGTTTGGAACACGCCAAGCACACCCTCGATAGTGCTCCAACCATGGATGAGCGCAAGACTTCTTGGTTGCGAAGGCTTATGAACAACCTTCTGAGTTGTACCCGAGAGCAAAGGAGGGATGTCGTGGCCTATCCTCCCGTTCCTGCCCCGGCACGCCCCTCATTCCGTGATGGTGAGCGCATTGTGCCCCCGGTTGAGCCCCACGAAGGAGCAAACGCAAGCCTCTGCCTACGTTCGAAGAGGTGCGTACTACTCAAGCAACCGAGCTCCCTGAACCATTTGAGTACGAGTGAGCACTGCACCGGATGTCGTTGGAGGGTCATCAAGCCACGGTCCATCTCAGGAACCGGACATTTTCCCTCAAGGGTTCCCTCATTTCCACCATCAGCAACCGAGTCCGATGTATCTGTTGACACCTAAAATCAATTTGGCCTGAATTAAATGCCGCATTAATTAGTCTCGGCATTTAATTCGATACCGCAGGTATAAAAATGATGGCGTTTGGAGTTGAGC